AAAACTTTAATTAAACCATGATAATTAATTAATCATATAATTTATGATTATATAACTTTACACATTTATAAAACTAACTATTTATGAGGCATTTCTGGATTTTTTTCTGGCTAGCATTCTTCGTTGATTTTTAATTGAAATTCAAAGTGCAAATGGGAGACTAATCTCCCAGTTTAAGCTTCTAGGGTTAATTAAGTTTAATGATCACACATTATCACAATTAACTCTTAAACATTACATTCATTTCAACACACATTTATTCTTTCTTTGCAAATAAATAGCGTATAATTGTGTGCAATCCACACATTTTTGAGCATAGTAATTTTGCAACAATCTCCATGTTTGGTTAGCCTCATGGTTTATTGCAGCTGATGAAAACATGGTGACAATAAACGGGCACAGCATCACAGCCAGTGCATAGAGATAAATTATCCGAAACGATATTGGACAATTTTGAAATATCAATACATAAGTAATGAGCAAAATAATTGTACCTAAAATCAGCCATAATATAGCGATATATTGAGACCAATACGTGATGTTATACTCATTGATCTCACGATAAATACTATTCAATGAATGCAATGTTTTCGTAATGAATGCAGAATTAAAACACTTGTCTCTCGACAAACGTTTGCGGATATTATTGTTAATGACATGTATTTTGTATTTAATATACTGACAAATGAGATAGAAATAAATTACTAATATTAGCATTATAGTTACAGCGTTATAATTTAGTAGCCCAATGATCACACTTTGCGGTATACCATATATAATTATTTCCACGATGGTGCATTTATTTGCATATATTATCAGGATATATAGTGGGCTCACAAACCATAAATACATTTCTGGAAAATGTATAAATTTTATCAAAACACGTGATCTCTTGACCAATCTGTACACCACTCGTCTATCGTTGAGACCCAACTGTGCGGGTGTTATATAACCGGCAAACATATCAAACAGCGCCAGAAATGTTGGTTTTATACCACGTTTATAGTTATAGTAATATAATATATGGAATAATATATGCATTAATACCCACAGAATTTCAAAGAGGTTTATATGTATCGGAATGTCCTGAAGATAAGCCCAATCTCCCAATAATATCTTCATTGTATGATTTGTATCAGGTACAAATAATAGCGAAACTGTGAATTGAGTTAAACATATGATCAAAAGGGTATTTATAAGCAATGGTTTTCTAACGATACTCCTGTGGGTAATAATCACGTATTGACTGCATGTGTGACACAAACCATTGATGTACAATAGATTACTGGCCGATCGAGTGACCATGGTGGATGGCATCACCATGTTTACATTTATTGTATTCATATTTAATAAAGATTTTACCATTTATAATTTGCAATAAAACATTTTTTATCTGTATCTTACAAGTTAATTACTTGTACAGTATAAAAATCTATTTTTATTTATTTTTATTATGGTGTTTTGTTTTATACTCAGAAATCTGCTTTATCTTATACAGTATAATGAATTATGTAGTGCAAAAACTTTTTTAAATATAACAATTTTTTTAGTTAGTTTAGTTGCCCCATTATTAATTGTTTTTACGTGTTAATTATTTTACTCATTTATACGTCAATATTTTACTATTACATTTATTAATTAAACACGATGATAATAACATAAATAAAATTATAATATAATTAATTTTATTAATTGCAGTATGGTAATAATGTGAATATCATAGTACATTTTGTGTAAATTTACTTAATTTGGCAAAAACATGTTTATAATTTTAAGTGCATAGCAACTATTAATAATTAATTAGAAAACTAAAGATAACTATTATACTTTAACAATGCATTTATTTCACTGCACATCTATTGTTGTCTATTTGTTATCAATTGATAACAATTGTTGACTAATATTTACATTAATTTTATCCCACATTTGTCGGCGATTAGTGCATAATTGCGTTAAATCTAAACAATTTTGAGCATAGTATTTTTCAAAAAGTTTCAATGATTGTTTAGCCGCATAGTTCACTGAAGCCGAAGTGAACATGGTAAACATAAATGGGAACAATACCCCCGCCTGACAGTATAAATATATAACCCGTACCACAAACGACGAGTCTTGAAATACCAATACATAGGTTATGAGCAAAACAATTGTACCCAAAAATATCCATACAATAAATATATATTGAGACCAATACGTGATGTTATACTCATTGATCTCAACGTATATTCTGTTTAATGAGTTAATTGTATTCCTAATGAATACCTCATTAAATCCCTTGTCTTTCATTAAATGTTTGCGTATATTATTGTTAATAATATGTATTTTATTTTTAAGGTATTGACAAATGAGATAGAAATAAATTACTTGACCCGAAAATCGGGATATGGCGTTAAAATTGGCCAAGCCAAATAATATACTATTTGGTATACCGTATACTATTATTTCCATCATGGTACATCTATTTACGTATGATAGAAAAACATAAGTGGGATTTATAAACCATAAATACTTGTCTACAAAATGCAATGAAATAAACAAAACACGTGATCTCTTGGCCAACGTATACACCACTCGACGGTCGTTGAGACCCAACTGTGCGGGTGTTATATAACCGGCAAACATATCAAACAGTGCCAGAAATGTCGGTTTTATACCACGTTTATAATTATAGTAATAAATTACAGATAATAAAATAACCATTGTATGACAAAGTATTATGAAAATGTTTATGTGTCTCTGAGTGTTTTGTAAATAAGCCCAATCGCCTAATAGTATTTTAATGTAATGGTTAGTATCAGGGACAAATAATAATATCATGAAATTAGCCAAAAATATTATCATCATGGTATTTGCAAACAATGGCCTTCTAATTATAGTCCTGCGGGTAATCATCTCGTATTGACTGCATGTGTGACACAAACCATTCATATACAATACATTACTGGCCAATCTAGTGACCAATGTATGTGGTATGACCATGTTCACATCAATGGTATCCATATTTTATTTAAGTTATTACTGGTTATTATAAATGAAATTATTGTAATCCAAGTAATATCATTATTACAATAGCATAAGTTTTAAAATTCAATGATACAGTTAACAAATTATTATTTCCGTATTATACAGTATTGTTCTTATGATAGATATTAATAAAAGTATGAAAAGTTACAAAAGTACGTACAAATGTTAGTGCAAACTTTTCTACCATTATTCGAATACAGTATACAATTAAAAGTATTTTATAATTAAACTAATGAATGTGATTTTCTCCAAAACAAAGGCAAAACATAATACAATTAACAAAGAATGAATATTAATGATAAAATAATATAAAATATACTATAAAATAATTTATTATAAAATCACATGTAATATAAAATAACAACAATATTAATATAAATAAGATAATGCATTTTTGCCATTTTATGCCAAAGCTCCTTTATTGATAATTAAGTATGTAAAAAACATATACAGTAGCTAGTTTCAATAATTTTTTAAATTTAATAATAATTAATGATTTATTATACTCATATACAGTACAGTAGTACCAAAACATTGAAAATTTTATTTTAATTATTTTAAATATATTTTTATACATAATTGCCAAATCAAAATAAAATAATAATAATATAGTGTAACCGTAAAAGACAATTTTTACATCCTAACTAGCTGCTAAACTTATTTAAATTACTATTCCTATAATTAAACAAATACATATTACAAGTAACATAGTTTAACTCATAAACAATGCATTCAAAGCAAATATATTATTGTCTATTTTCTAAGCAATTTTTCTTAATATTTATATTAATTTTATCCCACATTTGTCGGCGATTATTGCATACTAGTGTGAAATCCATACAATTTTGAGCATTGTATTTATTAAAAAGGTTCCATGATCGTTTAGCCGCTAGATTAACTGAAGCCGATGTGAACATGGTAAACAAAAATGGGTACAATACAACCGCCTGAGCGTAGAAATATATGACCCGTAGTATAAACGACACCTTTTGAAATATCAATACATAGGTTATAAGCAAAACAATTGCCCCCAAAAATATCCATATAATAAATATATATTGAGACCAATACGTGATGTTATACTCATTGATCTCACCATAAATATTGGTCAATGAATTAATTGTATTCCTAATGAATACCGAATTAAATTTCTTGTCTGTCATTAAATGTTTGCGTATATTATCGTTAATAATATGTAGTTTCAATTTAAGGTACTGACAAATGAGATAGAAATAAATTACTTGACCCGCGAGTCGAGATACGGCGGTAAAATTAGCCAGGCCAAATAATATACTATGCGGTATACCATATACAATTATTTCCATCGTGGTACATTTATTTACGTACAATAGAAACACATATATGGGACTTATAAACCATAAATACTTGTTTACAAAATGCAATAATTTAAACAAAACACGTGACCTCTTGGCCAACGTATACACCACTCGGCTATCGTTGAGACCCAACTGTGCGGGTGTTATATAACCGGCAAACATATCAAACAGCGCAAGAAATGTTGGTTTTATACCACGTTTATAGTTATAGTAGTAGATTACAGATAATAAAATAATCATTGTATGAGCAAGTATTATGAAAATGTTTATATGTTTCTGTGTGTCTTGTAAATAAGCCCAATCGCCTAATAGTATTTTAATGTAATGGTTAGTATCAGGAACAAATAGAAGTGATATGATAAAATCAACCAAAAATATAACCATAATGGTATTTGCAAACAATGGTTTTCTAATGATAGCCCTGTGGGTAATCATCTCGTATTGACTGCATGTGTGACACAAACCATTCATATACAATAGATTACTGGCCGATGGAGTGACCAGTGTGTGTGGTATAACCATGTTTACATCAATCGTATCCATATTCTGTGCCATAGTAGTAAAAGTAATTTAACCGATCTAAATAAATGATACACTTAATATTATTATATTATTTTAGTGTTTAGATAATGCTACAAAAAATATATTAAAGTTTATACTTGTTAATGTATTTTTAAAAACATTTATTGTTATTACAAGTAAATTATTTTTTTTGTAGCTATAATATAGAGCTAGATTTACCAGGCACAAAAAAATGCTATTATAAATTAGACGTGATTATTGAATCATCAAGTTAATTTTTAAACTATTGTTCACTATAAACGTTACAATGCTTTTAGTCATTTGGTGCCCCATTTTTAATAATAAATAGTAAACATTAATACTTGTAATGTTCAAAGTTTGAATTTCAAACCCCATTCACAATGATTGTTAACTTTATATATGAATAATATAGTAATAGTACAGAAATGACCTTTTCATTATAAATGCTATGTGTACGCTGGTGCACTTTTTGGAATTACTAGATATAGAGTATATATAAATTAGTTACGGTTAGATATAATAGTTTTAAAAAATATATGTCAAATATAATAACTTTGTTATTTATTTCATGTTACAAATGCATAATGTATTTTGTTAGAAACATTAATAATACAATTAACATACAAAAAGGTTACCATTAAATTGACTATAGGAATATATTTTATTAAACATAATTGTGTGTTTAAATAATGATAATATTCGTAATATTCATTAAAATTGTTTAATTTTGAAAACACGTTTAATTAATTAATAATTTTATGATTAAAAACAATTAAAGATTATTACTCTACATAATATGATAAAATACAATGAGAACACAAAATGGCAAAATAATCGAGGTTAGTATCATAATTAAATGTTAATTTAGTCATTATAAGTCTTAATGCTGGAATAAAGAGTGTTTATTAGACAATTGTTTAATTTCATAATAATTATTTTGAATATCATTTTAATAATGAAGTATGAATATAATTTTATATTAAACAACTATACCCTCAATTTGGTCTATTTTATTAACATTAAAATCCAGTGACAAAACGTCAAAACTTAGTGACAAAACGTCAAAACTTAGGGACAAAACGTCAAAACTTAGGTATAAAACGTCAAAACTTAGGGACAAAACGTCAAAACTTAGGGACAAAACGTCAAAACTTAGTATCAAAACGTCGAATCGTAGGACAAAACGTCAAACAAATTATTTATAATGTATACATTACTAGTACCAAATAAATTATGAAATTAAAATGCTTAACATTTCATAACTTTTAGCCTAAAACCCTGATTCCGCAAAAATATTATACAATTTCTAGCTATATATTTATTTAACAAATTGTATGATTTGTTTGCCTCATAATTAATTGATGCCGATATAAATGCTGTAAATATGAATGGAAATAATGCTATAAATTGGGTGTAAATAAATATAATTCTAATAACAAATGACATTGTTTGAAATATAACCATATACGTGATGAGACAAAATATGGTACCCAATAATACCCATAATATAGCGATATATTGAGACCAATACGTGATGTTATACTCATTGATCTCACGATAAATACTATTCAATGAATGCATTGTTTTCCTGATGTAAACCAAATCAAGTGTTTTGTCATTCAATACATGTTTATAGAGATTATCATTAATTGATTGTAATTTGCATTTAATATACAAACAAATGATGTAATAATGAACGCAAAGCCATAACGTTAAAGGAATTGTGTAATATTCATAAAGGGATAGAAATATACATTGTGGTATACCATAGAAAATAACTTCCATTAGGGTACATTTATGAAAATATGATAGGAAATTAAAAATAATATACAATGGTTCAAAATAAATTTCAACACATTTAACAAGTTTAAACAAAACATGTGATCTGCGGCACAATAGCCACACGTGGTGTCTATCTGTGAGTCCAATGCGTGCGGGAGTTATATAACCGGCGATCATATCAAACACCGATAGAAATGTTGGTTTTATATCGTGTTTATAATTATAGTAATATAACAAATGAAACAATATATTAATAGTTACCCACAAAATCAGCACATAATTCAAGTGATAAAGTATATCATTTAAATATGTATAATCGGCAAACATAATTTTGACTTGATGATTGTCATTTGAAATGAAATTTGTAACAAATAATATTTGCATTAAATATAGTGATAATATTGTTATGATTACAAACGGGTTATGAAGTAGTGATCGGTTTGTTGTGCTCTCATATGGACTACACGTATAACACAAACCTATTTTATACAATTGATTGCTCGCCGATAGAGTGACCAACTTTTCTGGTAAAACTTGATTGATATCAATTAAATCCATAATTTATATAAATCCTAACGTAAACAAAAAAAACAACAATAGAAATGTAGGTTTGATAAATAAAAACTTGCCTAAAATTAGTTTTTACAAAATTGTTTATTTTGTTATAACAAATATAATAATAATAATCTTTAAAACGTTAATGTAGAGGCCCGTCATAATGGCATTTATAATGGACCATCATTACGTTGTTTACTTATATTTAATATTTATGGTTAATTTAAGCGACAACTAAAAAGTAATAACTATTAATGATCTCTTTAAAACATTTAAATTGTTTACAAGCTCACAAAATATCATTATTGAAAATATAATATAAGATACTAATGAAATGTAAATAAATAGAATTTTACGATAATTACCAGTAATTTATTTATTCATACATTTTTTACTAAATCGTGACCAAAATATCAAATACAATGCAATAAACGTCAACCAAATCATCACAATATGCAACACATTTAATAAAAACTTTTCAAATACCATAACCGGAGTCTCTGTTATGCGAACATTAAGCTCGTTTGACAGGCAAACTTTAATAGTGTAACCAGATGTCCCATTAACCATCTCAGTAACATAATCTGGACTCTGTCTCAAACTATAATAACTTTCATAACAACTAATCGGACACTGTTTGGCGCAAAGCCAACTGACCCTATGGTTAAACTCATTGTCTAATATACTTGTGCTGTTTGGGCACCTCTTAAGGTACGGCCAGTCGTGGGCTACCAGATAGTTGTCCAACAATTTTGGTAGACAACCATATTGTTTTGTATATAACCGATGTTTACAATACACTTGACACTCGGCCTGGGATTTGAATGCGTAATCTTGTTTGTCGAGGCATTGTGTTGGGTAGAAGTCAGGTAGTGACGTGATGTGGGTAATTTTATGGTAGTATACAATTGTACTGCTGTTTAGGCTCACTATTTCGTACCCACTTTTAACAATATCAAACACTTGGTCGTCGGGTTCGTGGATACTGACCATTAGTTCCGGTGGTATCGGTATTTGTATGTCAAACGTGACCATTGGATTCAAATTAGTGTATAAATTGTCAGTAATTGTATTACGATTGTCAATATCATAGCAAAAGTCATATGTAAAACAAAATAAATTTTCATTCAACGATAGGCTTATATTATAGGTTGCGGTAATCGGTGACCCGTTAACAGGTAGGTCTACAAGTTGTATCCATTGGGTCAACTCTTTTCCACTATACAGAGCGTCAAACTGGCTATTAATGGACAGTTGGCTTAGATTTACGGTAATAATGTCCAACTTGTCTGATGTTAGTGAATGGGAATTTTGCCTTTGGGTACCAAATAATAGCCAATAATAATGGTCACTAATAAAGTACGGCTTTTTCCCGCACAATGTGACAGATGGCAACGCTATTTCACGACCGGATTCTTGGTAGTAATCGGTGACTGTATGGGTACCATAACTCAGGTACACAACTATTGAGCTCAATATCTGTGATAAACTCAATAAAATACAGAATAATATAATTAAAAATATTGCTAATTTAGTTAATACACCCATTATTTAAAATATTAAGTTTTATTATATTTTTAAAATAATTTTGTTTCGGATATACTGTATAAATTGGTTTGATTATGATTACATTTGAGTACATTTTGTTTAAATAGTGTGTTGTTTGTTAGATAATTAGTGGAAATATATCATTTAAATGACATGTTTGATCAGTAATATTGACAGAAACAAAATTACATATAAAATTAAATACAAAGTTTTAAAAAACAAATTATAAAATTTAAACTATCACATTAAAAAATTAATTTAATAAAACTAGCATGAAATTTATTTCAACACACGTCTATTGTTTTTTACTTTCAATTGTTTATCAATTTGGACCATAATTTTATTTATTATTTGTCGATCAGTTTTTAATTGATTTAAATTTACACATTTTCAAACGTAGAAATCAATATTTACAACTTTATAATCATTATACTATTACATAAAATATAAAGATACATGTACCAATATTAAATTCATGTACCTTACATGTATTGATTTCTCTATAACCTATTGGTGTTTGTTATATGTAATGAGCGGCATTTCCCATGTTTTCAATCTATTTTCCAGGAAAATAGTTTTGCGCCGGAAAATTCTTTATATTCCTTAAAATTGGGAATATAAAACAAAAATGTGGTCAAACAATGACCAATCAATGTATATAAATATTTTTAACTTAATAAATACATGTATCCTAATATGCTTAAGCATAATATTACAAATAATTTTGTTAAATCAAATGAGTTGATTTAATAAAAATTAATTTGTATTTTTTTGTCACATTTTAAAAATTGCGCTGTCTGTTGTGTTGGTTTATGTGTCACTTATTTGTACATAAATTACCTGTGGTTTTAGTACGCGTTTATTTTGTACCCCTTGTGTTTTAATTATTAATTGATTAACTTATGACATCTTATTATATTTCACTTGTGATTAAAATATTAACGTTTGAATTAACTTTTATTATTATATTTAATTGTTTTTATATTAAATGAATTACCATTTTTGAAATGTTACGGCATTAGTGCAGATAAATGACATTAGCGCGTATTAAATGAATGTACCAATGCCTTATTATGATTAAGCGCTAGAGTCATTACAATTTGCCAGTGTTTTGTGATAACCATGTGCTAAAATCATAAATCATTACAATCGGCAATAATATGCCGAGAATAACTAACGATCGTTTGTGGTTACACTGGACTGATTATACGGGTTCTGGGAATAAAACACGTGTATTTTGTAATTATTGTTTGAGTGCCAATCAATTAAAAAACGCGACTAAATGTCGATACCATACGGTTAAATGCAAAAAAGTGCCACAAAATGTAAAATTAATATTCAAATCAGAGATCAAAGAGAAATTCGTTAAGAAATTCGAGATTAATGGTGAAGATGATATCGAAATGCTTGACGATATAGAAGTGGAGGCTGGGACATCATCAACGCCGTCAAGTGACCCGCTAGTGTGTGATCGCAGCCATGATTTCGTGGAGAGACCGGCTTCTCAACAATCAAGTACTTCAATGGATTCATACGTAACCCGTCTTTCAAAGACAAGAAATGATCGATTGATTGAATTATTTGGGAACGCAATGATTTCTGGCGATATTGCGTTTAAATGGATTAATAATCCATATTTGAATGAATTTTTTCATGAACTAAATAGTGGATTCACACCACCAAATGATACAAAATTAAGGCGCTTTGTATTTAGTAATTGTCATGAAAATGCCAAGACTTATATCAATGAACTCATCGCTGAAGCGGATTCAATCACATTAGCAATTGACGGCTGGGAAAATGTGCGAAGTCTTGAAGTATTTAATATAATGGTCTGCATTCCCGAAAGTATTTTTTTTAAAAGCGTTGAAATCGGTGGTGAGATTTGCGATAATGTCGTGATTTTAAGAGAACTCAAGAAAGTAATTGACGAATTGGGCGTTGAGAGGATCTCCGCGATTATTACAGACAATCATTCGGCAATGATTAAAACACACGAAGAACTCCAACTGATTCATCCACACATCTTCGGACTCAGATGTTCAGCTCATGTTTTAAATCTTTTGATCCAAGATTTATCTAAAATCCCGACTATTAATAAAGTAATTCTTAATTCAAGAGAAATTGTCAAAGAAATCAATCGCTCGCACGCAAAGAAAGGTCACTATAATGAAATGTGGGAAACATTTATAGCTGACGAAAAGAAACACAACAGAAGAGTGGAAAAACTTTCTCTTGTTTTACCGACAGAGACCCGTTGGTATTCAATAAGAAATATGATGACAAGCCTTCTTCGCGCAACCACTGTTCTCCAAAGAATGGCAATTGACCAAAACATAGGATTAACAGCAAATATCATTAGAATCATAAAACGGGACAACTTTTGGGAAAAATTGCGTTTAATTAATGATTTTTTAAAGCCATTAATTGATGGTATGTATATTACCGCGTTAGCGTAGAAACTCTAGCATTAGCGAGTAATTCATATGTGCACCAAAGCCTTGAAAGTCAAACGCTAGCGTCACAACTATTTAATTATTAAATTATTTTAAATCATAATTACTTTTTTATTTACAAGGTATTGCTAAACTCGAATCAGAAGCGTCTGTTATTTCTGATGTTGTTTTCGTTTTCAACGATTTGAAAAAGTGTTTCTCTAAAGAAAATTTAAGATTAATTAAACTCACAATTGGCGAACAGAACAAAGCCCTTCATATATACACACATCGTTGCAAAAGCTATTTCATTAATAATCATCATTACTTGGCCTTTTATTTAGACCCACGTTATAAATCTGAGCGCATTATTGAATCAGACGAAGAATTAACATTAAAAGTCTACTCAACACTTGAATCATACGCTAAGTCTTTGAATAGTATAAGTACTGAAGAGGAAGCCCAACAACTGGCCGATAATTTGATAGATTTTCGCGAATCGAGATCACTTTACGGGCTGTCATTAATTGGTGGAAAATCACCTAAGAATTATTGGAAACATTTGAAGCAATTCACTAAAACTAAACAATTAGCCGATATTGCATACCAACTCTTATCAATGCCGGCGTCAACTGCAGGCACTGAGCGTAGTTTCTCTGCGCAACAGAATCTTCACACTAAACGCCGTAATCGTCTTAAGGATTCAAATATCGACAAAGTTATGAGAATTAAATGGTTTCTCAATAAAAAAGCAAAAGACGGCAAACTATTATCAAATGAAATCATTCAAAACACTGATATTAGTGACGAACCAAATGATAATTTTGATGTTTTTCAATTAGAAGAACCTTTTAATGAAACTGAAATAAATGAATACAATTATACTGAATAAATATGATTTATTAAATTGTCAATTGTTTGTTTATTAATTAATTTGAAATAATTTCAATTAGTAGCGTTAGCGTATATTCATTGCATTAGCGTACTATTGTAACCTAAATAATCAGCACCAGTGCCGTCAATGGACTCGCCAGTGTCCGGTTTGTCATTTGAAATGAATATAATCATTCAATTGTTTTATCAATTATTATCATTTACTTATTTATACAATTTTTAATGTAAATGATTGAATAAAAGTTGATGACTTATTTCGTCACTATATATATGAATTAACCAACGCTTATGCTCTGTAAGTGGTTGTCTATTTCATATGAGTCATTCACTGATAGAGTGACAACATTTATTGTCATATTTTGAACCGTATAATGGGATTGGTGTGATTTTTTAAATAATTGATCTACAATTAATACTAAAACTAATCATTAAAATTAAAAAATATTTTCCCAAAATAAATTCCCCTTCCCACACGTTCGTATATTCCGTAATTTCCCTCTATTCTCCGTAGCGGCAACATGGGAATTCAAGGAAGTTTGAAAATCTGCCGTTCATTATGTATAATATAATTATTTTATTATAATATATTTGACAGAAATAAAAATAATAATAAGATTTATTCACTATTTTATATATGATTTTTTTCGTTATTTTCGTTTACAATTGTATTGTTATTATTAAATAAGAGATTAAAGTATTTGATTAGAGAAATGCTGTGAATATAGTGTTGTATAAGAAAAACCTAACGATAAATCTTATTAAATGAATGTATTATTCACTTAAATGCGGGTAAATCTATAGGAGAGAGAGAGAGAGAGAGAGAGAGAATAGGATAAGACTATTGTTTGAAATTTTCTGTGCTTTTCATTTAATGTAAAAATTAAAACTTTTAATTTCATTGTTATTCTGGTGTTATTTTGTGTTTCAAATATTTAATTGTTTGATCAAAATGTAGCACTAATTTAATGATTTAATCGGGTTTAATTTGGTTATATATGTATTGATATGTCGTTTAATTTTTTGATTGTCTGACAGGAGAGAGAGAGAGAGAGAGAGAGAGAGAGAGAGATTCAAAAATTAAAAACTGTTTATTATTGAGATTTCTCTTTAAACCATTGACTAAATAAACATTTATTTCATTAATTAAAACAAAATGTAAACATATTTTTAAATACAAAACTGATATTATATTTAATCGTCTGAATTGTAAGCCAAAGGGAAAGCAAAAAAGCGATAATCAAATAAAAACAATACAAAAAGCAAATATTATTTACAAAAATAACTTATTTTTATTACTTTTATTATTTGTTATTCAGTTTTTTGCGATAGTTTTTGTCGATTGAAATCCTTTTGATTTATTGATAACAGTATTTATATAATAAATATTATGCAGAATATAATACACTATACAAAACAGTACACTATATATAAAATATATGTATATATAATGCAATATCGATGGGAATTAAAATTAGACCCAAAAACTTTATTTTGTAAGTTTTTCTATTTGTTTTATAAGTTTTTATACATTATACATTTTACACATCATATACTGTATAATATATGAGGTAACAGTTTTTTCTCGGTAATTATTTTTAGTACCCGACAATCGACTGTTGTTTTGTTCATTATATACAAGAAATTAATACATAAATCAATGCAAAAGACAAA